AATACCATTGGAGCCCTAGACCAATAAGACAAATCCATAGTCAAAAAAAGATTTGATGAATTTTTCTGAAGAGTAAATTACACGATTCGTTCCTCGCCCAACTGTTAAAAAGCGTTTTTGGTCAATATTTTTAAAAATTAAATTGGACAATCCCTCGTCCATTTAAATTTTGCACGCTCCATCCCTAATGTTGTTAGCCAACCATAAAAAACGAGTTTGCCCTTATCTGTTTCTTTTTTATTTATTTTTATTTGTTAGTTATATTTAATTAATTACATATTTATTTTTTTATTTAAAGTAATGTACCCACCCTCACATACCCACTTTACCTCTCTCTTCATCCAAACACCATTCTTAATCAACTAGAAGATAGAGCATCTCCAATCACCACTTGCTCCGATTACCATTGGCCAATCATCTCCGACCTATATTCTCCAGTCAACCACTGACTACTATCTCTAACCACCTACGACCAACAACGACATCTCTTACACTCCTATCTTATGTTCTCATCTATCTACTTCTTCACTTACACATTTTCCGGCACACCGCAACGCATTTTTCCCGGCAGCACCCATTGATCTTACCTTAGAAAACCAAATCCCATAAATGGAAAACTAATCACTTCTCCCTTTCTATACAAGCACAGCCACACCAAAAATGATTTCCAATAAAATCCAAAACCTGCAACAAATCTGAAAAATTATATGATTTATTCATTCCCTTTCTCTCTTCTTTCATATGTATAGAATCCACCGGAAAGGAGGTTAGCAATCGTTGATTTCAATGGTGACTAGGGTGGTGATCAGAATGAAGGAGGATGAGTTCTAGAGTAGCGGGTATTGTGTTGGATCCCGATAGGTAAAAAGCTAAAGGTGGTGCTTCAGTTGTTAGCGTGAAGAGGAAGGCCAACGACTGTTCTATTTAGCTAGGGTTTTGAGTGAGAAAGAAGGAGATAGCAGCAGAGGTGTCTTTGGTGGGTAGATATGAAAATATACGTTTTCCGAAATCACCACCACCAACCACGAACATCGGAAAAGACACATATTCCAACATCATCACTAACAAACAAACATCAGAATGTAGATCTTAAAACAGAGAAGAGAGAGTTGCATTTTGAGTGCAGATCTATAAACCCTTAATGATGGTGGTGACGATGGTGCCAGTGAGGACGGCGTTATCGATGTTGGTGGCTCCGGTGACCATCTCTCAAGTAAAGATGAAATGAAGAAGATGGACCGATAAGGATTGAAGGGTGTAGGGAGAATTAGGGTAGATGATAAGTGCTTGTGGTGGTGGGTCTATTTTTTGTGTTTTTTTTTTTTTTTTTTTTTTTTTTTTTTTAAATTCTTAATAACAATCAATTCAAAATATATATATAAAAAAAATAGAAAGAGTAAAATAGTCATTTTAAGGTCATCAGGGAGCCGTCGAGTGAGAAAAAAATATTATAGGGATGGTCCGAGTTAATTTTTAAAATAGGAACCAAACGTGCTTTTTAGCACTTGGGCGAGAGACGAATCGTATGGTTTACTCTTTTTTGAAAATGTGCATGTATGCACAATCAGCAGTTATATGGACTGCTGATGTGCACAATTAGCATTTATAACTGTTGATTGTACACGTCCGCAATCCATATAACTATTAATTGTGCATACATGTATATTTCATAAAAAAAGGTTGTTAAATGTTTTTTAGTCTTGATATGGTTTAGGCTAGGACTGTAAACGAACCGAACGTTCAGCGAACTGTTCGTGAACCGTTCGGCGGGAAGTTTGCTTATGTTTGTTTATTTAATAAGTGAACGAACATGAACACAAATTCTCATTCGTTTAGTTAAATGAACGAACATGAACAATGATCTCGTTCGTTTTAATTATGTTCGTGAACATCTGTTTACGTTTGTTTGTGTCCGTTCATATAAGTTCCTTTTACGTTCATATATGCTTAATTGTATTTGATTACATTACTATATTATATGTTCATTTACATCCATATATGTTCAAATTATATTTGTTTATCTTTGTTCATTTATGTTCGTTTGTTTAGCATCTTCACGAACATAAACGAACGAACACGAATAATGCAATTTATTAAACGAACGAACATGAACAAGACAACTCGTTTGTTTATCCATTTGTGTTCGTTCATTTATTTGGTTAACTTAAAGGAACGAATATGAGCAAGTCTCGTTCGTGTTCGTTCGGTTCGTTTACATCCCTAATTTAGACGTACCCTTTGAAAATAATTGATGTTTTCAGTTTAAAAAATGTTAAGCGGGTTAATAGTTTTTCAGTTCTCGCAAATCTTTAAGTTATCAAAAGAACTTATATATATATATATATATATATATATATATATATATATATATATATATATATATATATATATATATATATATATATATATATATATATATATATATATATCTGTATGTGTGTGCACGTGCGTGCTTAGAGTATTGTATTCTAACTATCTATTGTATGGATGTAAGATTGATTGTGGATAAATGATTTTAGTTATTTCAAAAAAATGATTAAGACATATTATTGAATTAAAGATAATTGAAAAAACCATCTAATTTCATTCTAAGGTATTTTTAGTTAATTAAGATGAACTTATAAAATGGCATTTATAGATTTTAAGGGATAATTAATTCCCCTTATTTAAAAAATCTGCTTTTTTTTTTAATAAATTCAATTTCAATTCCAATGTAATTTGTCAGCATAACTGATTGTATTTTGTCATAATGTTATTTTGTCATAACTGATTGTATTTTGTCATAATATTATTTTATTAGAATTATTGGATAAAAGTTAAATTTTGTCAGCATATTCTTAAAAAAATAAAAAAAACTTTATATATTATTCTATAAGAAAGAAACACTCATAAATAACAAACAACCACAATTTATAGATTATTTTACCTATATATTCTATTATAATATATTATTACATATAATCTTATTATTCTATTATAGATTATTCTATTAGAATTTATTGTTATATTTATTAAATATAATCTTATTATTTTATTATAGATTATTCTGTTAGAATAATCTTATTATTTTTTTTTGAAAGATTTGCTACGATTGTTCATTTTCATCCCACACACCATCATCTAACCTTCAAGATGTCTTCTATGAAAATAACTACACTATGAAATCGAATTATATTAGAATAACATTATGTGAAAATGCTTTTATATAAAAAAATAATAATAATAATAAACCAAATGTTATAACGATTAAAACTAAACTTCAAATCGTAAAAACAAATCTACTAGACTACGAAAATAAATTAAACAAAAGAAAATTTATAATTTGTAGTTTTGTACAACAAACAAAAAAGAAACGCTAATTATCAAATTTATTACCAAAATAACTAGCTGGTACATATTAAATAATTATAATCAATTAATTTGATGCTTGGCCGGTACATATTCTACCGATTTCATAGCTTGTAGTTGTTTTTCTTGTTTGGCTTGCAAGAGCATTCTAAAAGAAAGCATCCAGAACTTGTTTACTTTCATTTTCACCTGTGTAGTTTTTTCTCACTATTGATTACTCAAATTAATAATCAAATAATCATGCAACATAGTCTTGTATCAAAAATAAAAGCTGCAAATCTCTATCACAGTTAGATAACTCATAGTTATGAGTAATCATGAATAATAATGAAGAGATGGGGATGGTGGATTTAAAGCCGGTTGTTTTGGAACTTGGTGGATTTAAAGTTTATAGATGTATGAATTGAACTTGAGTCCATCTTCATATTTAATATGTCAATTAAGAAAACAGAAAATAAAACACATTAATGTACAAGTGGTGAGCATCAAGCCAATCATAAAAGAAAATCTATTCTGTTTTTATTTTTCCCATTTGCTTGCTAAATAAACCATTACAATCTTTAATCTTAAAAGTTACCTGCTTGCTTTTACCTCGTATATAATAGCTCCAAGTGCAATCCATTTGTCGGTTCTTCCTTAGAAATCCATATATGGTGTTGAATTGTCCAGTTTCACCACAGTTGCGGTCTCCTGAAAATGTTTTTTTGGTTGTCATGGTGGGTGCGAAAACGGTTGTGGTTGATGGTGTTGGGTGGAGTCGTGTGTGCTGCCGGTCGTGGAGTCGTGTGTGTGGCGATAAAAAGAAGAAAGACGACGTGTGTGGTTAGTGATGAAACGGTAGGTGATTTTCTAGGGTTTTAAATATAATCTTGCCTAAATTAAATGTTTATTTAATTACCAAAATTTATTAATGGGTAAGATTACAATTTTATTTTATTTAAGCTTTTGAAATGATGGGCTCGCATTGATCCATATAACCACATAATATATAAGTTAGAATATTTGAACATCTTTATATATATATATATATATATATATATATATATATATATATATATATATATATATATATATATATATATATATATATATATATATATATATATATATATATATATATATATATATATATATATATAGAGAGAGAGAGAGAGAGAGAGAGAGAGAGAAAAGTGAATATACACTTAAAAGTATATAACTTTAGGTACTCAAAAATTGACTTACTTTCAAGATTTTCAAAATTTCACTGCTATATTTCTCTTATATCATATTATTTTACCGAACACCTACTAGGTTATATATATTGTAGTTGAAAATGAAAATTATGTAAGACGAATATAAACGTGTAATTTATAAAAATCATGAAATCAAATCAAGTTACAAATTAAATTATAAGAATATTGGATAATTAGAATGTATTATATGATACAAAACGACGTAGTATGGTGTATTTGGGTACCTAAACCTATATACCGTTAAGGGTATATATATATATATATATATATATATATATATATATATATATATATATATATATATATATATATATATATAATAGCATGTTTAGAAAAGCTCCGAAACTTCAATTACTTTTTGTTATTTTAAAAATAGTTATTTAATATTGAGAAAACTACAAGTTTGGTCCGCGTTAGGTTCAAAACATTTCGAAGTTGATGAACGTCCACAAGACCACAAGAGTGTTTTTAATGGATTTGGTCTTTGTGATTAATTTACCTCATAAATGATTATTTATTTAATTTTATTTCATTAGATTTAATTATTATATATTATTTAGAAAAATTAGGACTACACAACCATTTTTCCTTCTACCGGTGATCACCACTATCTCTTTCTGCGAACACACACAAACTCAAACATGCATACATACACACATAAATGCATGATGCATACATGTCAAGTTTATTAGAAAACTTGTCTGCATCAAAGAAATATAAAAATCAATTACAACTCTTGAAACAAATTTATCCGGCTGCTAATAAAGGTGATTTGTTGTTAGAACTAAGGGTATAATTGTAATTTATGTTAGTTAGATAGACAAACAATTTTGTTAGTTAGTTAGTTAGAGCTTATTTTTTCATTCATATATGTAATTGTAATTAGCTCTTATTCATTCAATGAAATAGAGAGATCTTCAATCCATTTCTTTCTTTCATTTTCTTTCATCTCTAGCATGGTATGAGAGTGGGTATGATTTTCTATACTTTGTTCTTTGTTCTTTCGATGGTCGAATCAAATTTATCTAGTTCTTCAGCAACCATTGATCATTCAAGTCCATATTTCATAAGTTCATCTGATAATCCAAGTTCTTTGCTCGTTACTGCCCCATTTGACAGTAATGGCTTCAATTCATGGAAATGATCCATGGTAATTTCACTATCTGCGAAGAACAAGTTAGGATTCGTAGATGGATCAATTCCAAAGCCTCTTACTACTTCTTCCAGTTACCCTAGCTAATTAGTATCTAGCTAATTCTATGGTAATTAGTTGGATTCTTAATTCGGTATCAACGAACATAATTGAGAGTGTTCTATTCCTTCAAACAACCTCTGAAATCTGGAATAAACTCAATCATCGTTACCAACAATCAAATGGAGCTTCACATTGTTCAGAACTTTGCTCCGTGTTCATGTGAAACAACAAATACTATTCTAAATTCCTCGAAGAACATCGTCTTATTCGGTTATTGATGGGAGTGAACGACAACTATAAAATTCTCTGTGGATAAATCTTGATGATGAAACCACTCCCAAGCGTTTCCACTAGATATTCTTTGATCATTCAAGAAGAGAAACAAAGAGGTATAAATAATAACTCTCAGATAAATGTTGAGTCGATAGCTATGAATGTCTCTTTTGAAGTTCAATCACAGAAGCATTTGCTTTGCAATCATTGCAAGAAGACTACACGTGCTTTGTATTTTCAAGATGGGTTAAGCACACTTTACTGGGGAGAATGCATTAAAACAGTTGTGTTTCTCATCAACTGAATGCCTACCAAAATTCTTGGTTTTAAATAACCTTATGAAAAGTTGCATAAACAAAAGCCATATCTTACTATTTTGAAATCAAGTGTGTATTTGTGTTTTGTTGCTACTTCAACAATAGGAAATGACAAGTTTATGCCTCGTTCTCAAGCATGTGTTTTCATTGGCTATCTATATGCTTAAAAGACAAATAAAGTGCTTAAAATTGAAATAAAAAAGATATTTATTAGAAGATATCTCAAATTTTATGAGCATTTATTTCCTCTACATTATATTAGAAATCAATCATCACTTGATTGGTCTTCTTCTTCATACATGCTTATTCCCATTTTTGAAGAACAAACCAGTTCAGAAACACCCATTCAACCTACTTTAACCCATGCATCTTTTGTTCCTATAATTGAAAATCAAGTTAATCAAGAAAAAAAAAATCCCCTTCCTTCAAATGTCAATACCAGGCCTACTAGAACATGACAACCACCATCTTATTTATGGGATTATGTTTGCAATGTTGCTCTATCTGGTGTTGATGAATGTTCTCATACAATAACCAATTTGTGCATCTCAAATTGTAATTCTCTTTCCTTTAAATCCAAAAATGACCATTTTGCTCTGAGTGTTATTCTACATGAATATGGGGCTCTTTTCTATTCTCAAGTGAAGGAAAACCTTCATTACGAAGATGCAATGCAAAAGGAGTTAGAAGCTTTGCATGCTAATAACACTTGGACCATTCTCAAACTTCCAAAGGGAAAGAAACCAATAACATTCAAATGGGTTTATAAATTTAAGTATAAGGTTGATGGGTCAATAGAAAATGTATAAAGCTCAATTGGTTTCAAAAGGATTCACTCAAAAAGAGGGCATAGATTATCATGAAACATTTTCCCCTGTTTTCAAGTTTACAACCATAAGGTGTCATGTTTCTGTTTTCAAGTTTACAATAATTTTAAGTGCTTTGCCATCTCGGCAACTAATAGTTTTCATTCAAAAACTAATCAAGATTCAGTGTCATGTTTCTCTCATGACAAACATTTCTTGAATTCCATTAATTGCACTAATTGGGTAAATTTTGAAAAGTGCAATTTGTTAAATGGAAGTAATTGAAGTTTTAATGCTATAATTATATATAAATTAGTGAATCGTTTTTTCCTATTCTATTGCACTTAACCCCTCTATTTTTATTGTATTACCGTATGATGTTGTTTTTAATATAACTTATGCCTTGCTCCATGTAGTTTTTGGGTATGAGCCCCATTCCGTTTGGCCAATTGGAGTTGTCACACTGACATATCTTACAGGTTTTATACCTCTTTCCAAAGCAAAGATCCTTGCAAGTACCGCTGTAAGATTCGCTATTACTCCACATGCTTTAAGCCCATTTGTAACATAGGAAAATTAGATATATAAGAATATATGTTGTACATTGTTTAGTGTGCATTTGACCACGTGTTATGCTAATGGAACAAAAAATCACAGCTTTTTGTCTAAAGCAAAAGAAAAAACTAAAATAAGGTGGGATAGAGATTAGAGACTGACTTTTCGTTATCTTGTTTGTCCAAAAGATATGAATATACTCATAATAAAATAGCCATAAAAAGCATTTATAGTCATGTATAGTCCAAAAGATATGAATATACTCAAAAATGCATGGCATCTTGGCACAGGTGTTCTGTACACCATTCATGAGGCATATATGGACATGGCTTGGGGTAACAGAAGCTTCAAGGGCAAATTTCTCCTCTCTTCTAAAAGCTGGTTATAGCTGCATAATAGTACCAGGTGGCACGCAGGAGACATTTTACATGGAGCATGATTCCGAGGTTCAGAAGTTCTTTTATTTTTTCTTTTCGAAATAAGCTCTCAAATTTTGCAATCGTTCGCTGATCGTTTCTTTTCTAAATTTGATGTAATATCTTGCTTTTACGTATTTTCTTATGTCGTGGTTTCATTGAACTTTGAGAATGGTCTAACATAGTAATTTTGTATAGACCGTCTTTTTGAAAACAAGGAAAGGATTTGTACGACTTGCAATGGAGAATAATTGCCCATTGGTTCCTGTTTTTGCTTTCGGTCAGGTATAATTCTTCTAATTTTGATGCTTCCCTATTACATCTAATTTCTTCCTATTACAACATTGTATTATGAAAAATCTACCAAATTGTTGTTTGTATGCACTTCCTTTCTCGTTTTGATGACTTTATAATTGAACCAAATGTCATGCATGTTGCAGTCGTATGCTTACAAGTGGTGGAAGCCACGTGGGGAATTGTTCCTGAAATTCTCAAGGGCTATAAGGTTCACACCGGTCGTTTTCTGGGGTATCTTAGGGTGTGTTAAGTTCATATGATTTCATTATTTGTTAAGTTCAAAAACCACGTAATCGTCATAATTAATGGTTATTTTGTTTCAGATCTCCTTTACCCTTCCGTCAACCGATACATGTGGTGGTTGGTAGACCTATACATTTCAAGAAAAACACTACACCTACCATGGAAGAGGTATTACATTCATTTACATGTTTCGAATGCTTTCTTTTTCATTGTTATGGGTGTGTTTTTTTGCACGTGATAAGGGTGGATTAAACAACCTTTCTAGCGCTATTTGGATGATGAGGATAAGAAAAACATTTATGCCTTTTGAAAAACGAGAGGTTGATAGAGTGTTATTATCCCACCTTGCAATTTTTGTTCCATAAACATAGTCTTGTGTTGTTCTAATACAAAAAGGACCTAGTTGGGCTTTATGAAGTTTTCCTTTTGAAAAGATACAACTAACTCATATTTCTTCATAAACTTTCATATGGAAATTAACTATACCATTAGTTCGTTATTGATGATTACTAAAGATGAAACTTGACAAATAAGAATAATTTTGTTTCCTTTTTCTTAATATCATGAAACATGCTAGTCCTTTTCCTCTGAAATCAGACCATATGTGGGTTTCAATATGGAGAAAAGTCATAGTGGTTACATGTTCAAGCTATGGATCTCTAAGGTTGCTACATTTTTCGTGTCTTGAATCTGATTATGAAAGGGTATTGCAGGTTTCAGAAGTACACATGCAGTATGTGGAAGCACTTAAAGATCTATTTGAGAGGCACAAACTGAGGGCCGGTTATCCTCATCTTAAGTTAAGAATTATCTGAACGCAGTATATGAAAGTGACACGGGGTTAATTTGCCATTGTTTTGAAAAGTTATAATAAGCAATGTTGTAGTAAGAGTAGATTTGTGCATGTATCCTTAGGTAGGTAATTAAAGACCATTTGTACTCAATATAACCATTTGTGTACGTGGTTACGTAGATACATCATGAGTAAATTTTCAATAGTTATGGTTAATGACTAATATTTTGTGTAAATGTATTTTGTGTAAATATTTGGTTTGACTGGGTTAGTCGTGATAGATCTCTATGCGTAGTGTATCCTCAGTGATAAGTGTAGAACACGAAAAGTTTTGTGTAAATTATGTGATACTGATTTTTTTAAATGCATTAAACAAACTAGCAAGAAGTTAGAAAAAAAAATACAAAACAACAAATTACAAACATTAGAGAGGGGGATACACAGGTCAAACCAATTAATAAAATTAAACGCTCTATGTTTGATCTATTTGTATGCCACCAACCTAATATAATCGTTGCTTTTAAAAGAGAGAACATCTTTGCATTGAACACCAAAACACTACGAGTCTTCCCAATTATCCAAATCAAAGAATAAAATAAAGCTAATCTAAGATTTCTTCATTCTTTCCCTTGAAACGAGGCTTTCAAAATATAGAGCAACGAACAATATCCTTTTGGGAACTAAATGCAATTCATCGCTCATGTCAATAGAGGCTTTCAAAATATAGAGCAACGAACAATATCCTTTTGGGAATTAAATGCAATTCACCGCTCATGTCAATATGTCATAAACCAATTTCGAATGACAACTGATTGATGAAACTCACAATTTTGGAAAGAATGTCATTTCCTTTCATGTAGTTATATATTTATAGTTTTCATTCAGAATAACAAAGTTCTTGTGGTGTAGTGGTTATCACGTTAGCTTTACACGCTAAAGGTCTCCGGTTCGATCCCGGGCAGGAACATTTCAATTTTATTTTTACCTCTTAGCTTCATCCTTTTTATCTTTCAACATGGACAAAAACTCTCTTGAAGTTGAAGCCAATCCAGTGATCCAGACAGCATATTAACGTGCGTTAGAAAGAATTGTAATAGAACTTCCTGATCATTTTTATCGTCAACAATGATAAAAACTTTTTTTAAAGCAATCCACCCAACGTATTTATTTAAATTTCTTTTTGATATAAGAAATGTAGAATATTAGTCTTTGAATTTATAAAATATTATACAATTCATTAGATTATTTGATAATGGTAAGTTTAAATATAACAAGGATTTAATTACCAATATTAATAAAGTAATTAAACAAAAAACTTCTTACATTTAAAGGAATAATTTAGAAAGAATTATAAGAGGATTTATATATGTGCAATCTGGATATATTTTTATGTTTTTACATCACCATGGAAAATAACGATCTCTATATTCTAAATAATTACGGGAAATACTTTGGACATATCAACATTTAAACATCTTAGGCTAGTGAGTGTGGTGTCATACTTATCATAGTCCACGTAGACTACATGTCATTTTTGCTAAAACTTGTCATTTGTTAGGTGCGGGTTGCCACATTTGTCATGTTAAATATATATTATCTTTAATTAATTTAGAAAATAAATATTGCATACATATTAATTTTTTTAAACCTAAATTCCATTAAAACAAACATAGAAATTCAAAAAAAAATTACACTATAAATTAAAAAAAAAAAAAACATCACGCTAAAAAATATAAAAAAATAGTCATTAAAAATATTACAACAATACTAGAAATTCAAAAACATCACACTAGAAATTCAAACATCTGCCTCACAATTTGCCAAACCTCAACAAGCTTGAAATCTTTTCAAGTTTCAACATGGTAAGCCTCAAGAGCATACTCTAGCAAAATATTTTTCTTTTCACCATTTTCAGCATCATGCATCACTCTACGAAACACAATAGTAAACTGAGTTGCGAATGTGTGTGCGTTTCTCCATTTGGTGTAGAGTAGATCTTTTCTTTGTGGTTGAAGGGTTTGACGGTTGTAATTTTGGCGACTCTACTCCAAAAAGTAGTCGAATGGGTAGTCACTGTGGTGTGGATTTCTGCTACATCAATCCATGAACGAGCAAGTAAGATCTCTTCTTCGATCGACCAAACAATAGTCATTTTTTGTGATAATAATAAAAAAATAAGAATGTTAAAAGAATAGAATTAAGGAGATTTGAACAGGGTGAAGAGTGAATAAGGATGGGGGTACTTATAGTTGAAGATTAAAGGTTTTAAATTTGAAATTAAAAAAAAAACGGTTATATTTTTGAAATTAGGTATTTTTTTTGGAAAGAGGGTAATTTTTAGAAAACTCTCTCACATCTGTTCGTCCTCGCCGAGTTGCCGAGCCGAGCTCGGCATGATGAGGGCTCGACCCGATGTTCGCCGAAGTAACCCAACGAAAACCGAATACCACACCCACCAGCCTTATATTGAACTTCAAGTATCCATATTTATATTTAATATTTATTGTCATGCTTGGTTTAATGGCAAACAATTAGTTGTAGGTAGATTAGACATAACTCATAAGGGCCAAAGATTATTCATACATATTTATTAAGGTAAATTACATAAAAGATATAATGTTATATATATATATATATATATATATATATATATATATATATATATATATATATATATATATATATATATATTCGATTTCAACATTGTTTCTTTCATTGCACTTAAGATATTGTATTTTTCATTTTTTACAATTTTGACCTTTTTCCCATTACTGGTTGTCATGCTAACGTGGAATGATATGTCGATGTAATATGTTTGCATGATATTGTTTGGTTACATGTCAAAAATAAACAAATAAATAAACTATAACAAAAGATAATTAAGTTTTCATTTTTTTTTTTCAATTTTTAAACTACGTTTTCATTTTTTTTAATTTGACACTCCATTATTTTACTTTTGTTACAAATTGAACATCATTTTTTTTTAATTTTATTCAATAAAAAATGAAATTTGATTAGATAAAGTTAAAAGGGAAAATTGTAAAAAGTAACTTTCTAAATAAATAATGAAGTTAAAAATATTATATAAAAATAGCGGTATACCGCTCACCCCTCCCCCCCCCCCCCCCCCCCCCCCCTCCAAAAAAAAAAAAAAAAAAATCATATCATCTAAGGCTTGAGGATGTGGACAGAACGTATGGTGCAATTAGCCCCACATGGCAGTATACATGTACAGTAACACCACACAATGACCATTGAAAAACATGATGATACATACCACAAGAGATGAATTTATGGCATAATCTCTCCTGATTTATTGAAGGTTTGAGAAGTATACATATGGTATGTGGAAGCACTTAAAAGATCTATTTGAGAGGCACAAAACAAAGAGTCGATTATCCACATTTAAGTTAAAAATTATATGCATGCACTATATGGAAATGACTTGGGGTTTGGCATTTCTATGAAATGTTCAAAGCAATGTTGTGGCAAGAGTAGATTTGTGCATTTATACTTGGGGAAGGTTACCATTTGTACTCGATATGTAACCATTTGTGTACGTGATTATGCATGGCTATGGTTAATGAATTATTGTGTAAATATTTTGGTTTGACATGGTTAATTATTCGTGATAGATCTCTATGCATGGTGTATCATCAATGGTAATTGAAGAACATGAAGAGTTTTGCGTTTTTTATGTGACATTGGTGACTTATATATGCACTAATTCGAGGATACTGATCCAAGTATTGTAAATTTTGTCTACTATTTGACATTTGTTTAATTCCATTATAATGATGATTATACCCGAACTAATGTAATGTTACCCTAAAATTAAAATTTGCCAATGTTCAATAAAGGATGGAATAGTTTGATTTATGGACAGACAAAGTTACCTACGACAAGTTAGAGATAACGTTAGATAAATATGACGAATTTTTGAGATGGGAGTTAGCATCTTAGATTGTATATATAGCCACATATGTATTTTATATTTGTTGTTTATAGGCCCAAGGCCCATTAACAAATGTTTATATATATATATATATATATATATATATATATATATATATATATATATATATATAGATATAAATAAATAAAGAGAGAACATTTCTTATTATCAGAACATTTGAGAACAAAAATCATTCTTAAATTTACAAGGTGATACTTTTGTAACTAAATAAAAAACTATAAAATAATATTCATATCAATCAAAAAATAGTTAAAACAATTAAAAAACTCACTAAGATATACTATTCACCACCTAACCAACATCACTCACGACCACTACCTACCAACCACCAACCACCACCTACAATGCACCAACCACCTATCACCACAACTAATAACCCACTACCACCATCACCCTTTACCATCATACACCGTCACCTCCACTCAGGGACAGTTTAATTAGTTTAGGGGTTCTAAGCAAATAAAATATTTATGGCTATTTGGCTTTATTATACTCCTCAATTGTTTTTACATACAAGTTATATTTTTATGTTTTCTTCATGGAAAATTTTAGTATGATATAAAGGAATTTTCTTGTCGTAATAACCTAAATCAACAAGCATTTGATAAAAATTTATATATGATTCTTTTTTCGAAAGAGACAAAAATCTCGACAAACTTTATTAAATCAAAGAAAAAATAATAAAAAGAATAAAGGGAAATCACAAATTTAGATAAAAACAAACTAAAAAACCCCAACAAGACCAGTCAATCCAAAACCATTACCACACCCACTTTCTTCTAGAGTTAATGCTCCATCTTCTATAGCCATGGTTGAATATAGGTACATAAGGATATATCTATAGAACCTCTTGCAATAATCCAACAAACTCCATAACACAGGCATAATCCAAAAAATCAAGCAATCTATCAAACTCCACACTTCCAGATTCTAAGAAATCACAAACCAGTCACCAATGCATATTAAGAACATGGCTCGGAAAAAGGGTAACCTCCAACTCTCACACCCCATACACCGATCAAATATAAAATAATAGAGACGAACCT